TGATTATTCTAGGGATGCCTGAGCTCACTTAGTCATAGAACCCTTTTTTTCACGCCACTTTTGCATCTCACGAAATTGGCACCTTGTAGAACAGAGTTTGGGAAGTACTTCTCATGGTACGGCATGGTTGGTGGTGTCCTTTTTGATAGGCAGCAATGAGTGCCCAAGCTCCTAGATGCTGCCGATACGGGAACAACCTGCTGAATGCACATTAGCTGCAGGCTGGATGACTGGGGGGTGGAAGTGTGTCTTATTATAATTCTGAGTTCTTAAGCAGGGTGCAGGGAAATCACCTTCCTAATACCTTCCTGGAAGACTATGAACCCATCCCAAGACTTCTGTAGAAGCCAGCAAAGACTCTGGTGTGGGTTCTGCTTATTTTCACCTCCTTTTCTCTTTAAGGCAGAAGAAGGGGTATATGGGAGAAGAAAACAAATTCTTTTCTTCTTTCCCGCCTGGTATACTACCCAAAATATATCTTTGACATATATGCTTCCAATAGCAGCCAGCTGTTTGAAACCAAGATGTCCCCAAGAGGCTGCACATGTGGCCTTGCGGGTTGTTACCTAAACAGTTCCAAGTGATACTGTGCATATGGACAGCAGTCAGTCCCTACATCTTCGGGTACACACCCTTCCTTTGCCATTCTACTTAAGACTGCTGGAGCCCCACGTGCCTATGACCTCAAAACTCTGAGGATTGTGGGAGAGGCTTCCATTTTTCCTGGATTTCTCCCTTCTCTAGTTTCTTGATTTCATCATCTCCCTCGTGTCATGTATTTGTTCTTTTCTCTCCTTCCCACCTGAGTTCAAATGTGGAATTTAGATGTTTGCCCTTGATTTTCCCCAAACAAAGGTCCTTGGTAGATTGGAATAATAGAGTGGGGGGAGGAGGGACCTACTACAAATTGGCATAGGAACCAACAGTCAGAAATAGTATAATAGGAACCTCTTTTCTTTCTTTTTTGTTCTCTGTCTCTCTCTCTCTCTCGGTACTGGGGATTGAACCCAAGTGTGCTCTACCACTGAGCTACATCCCCAGCCCTTTAAATTTATTTGTTTTTTGAAGACAAGGTCTTGCTAAGTTGCCCAGCCTGGTCTTGAACTTGTGACCATAGCACATCTCTCCTGCCTCAGCCTCCTGAGTCTCTGGGATTACAGGTATGGGCCAGCTGGGTCCCCTTTTTTGTTTTGCAGCCTCTCTTCAGGCCAAATGTTTTCCTTCAGGCTGCCACCCTCCCTTCTCCCCCTTGTAGAGCTCTTGCTGCCTCCTCCTGGTCCTGCCCTCTTCCTACCTCTCCTAGACACTCATTCTTTACCTTATTAGGCAGAGTGTTTTGCTTCTCCATTCTCTTTCTCAAATTATATCTGTTTGCATATTCTAAAACTCATTAAGATACTGCAAAACAAATGACCCATCACCCTACTCCAAAGCAATCTTCTCTTCAGCAATTCAGAACTAAATGTTTTTGATAATGGCAGAAGCTTGGAAATTACAGTTTTTATCATGACTGTAGTTATTCTTAAGTTACTCATTAATATAAATTATATCATAAGCACCCTAGAAGGCAGAATCAAACATACTCCTTCATCAGCATCCAGGACCCCCCCCCCCCATGGGTACCAAACCGTCCGAGATCAAGGGCCTTAGATAAATGGCAGAGTATTTGCATGTAATCTACATGCAATCTCCCATATACCTTAAATCATCTCTAGATTACTCATAATACCTCATACCATGTAAATAGGCGTTTTTCTGTATTGTTTAGGGACTAATGACAAGGAGGAAAAATTTGTACATGTTCAGTACAGACACCATTGTTTTTTAAAATATGTTTTGATCTGAAGTTGATTGAATCCATGGATATGGATTCTGCAGAGGGCCAACTGTAGAATTAATTTCTGATTTTGTATTTGTTTTAATCAGGAGTTTCTTCTTCTTACAGTACAAGTTGGTGGCAGTCTTTCCCACTGGGGTGACTCTATGTCCTGACTTGTGCAGAACAGCCCAGCTCACCTTCCCATAGCACATCCCTGTCTCTCAACAATGTCCTTATTCAGATGATAAAATCAAGAGCCCCACTACAGAGATGGAAGCCATCCCTCATGGTGGTTTCGATTGTCAGGCAGAGCTTGGGAATTTCCTCCTTCACAATCTCCTGCCTAGAGAGCACCTAACAACAGCTGAAGGCTTAAAACAGCTTTTAGGAATTGCTTTTATGACTTCTGGCCTTCAGCATTCAGAAGAACAAAGGGAAAATACAAGAGAATGGCAGGGAGTTATATATTACTTCTGGTTAGTGCACACAGGGACTGTGTTTGTTCAACTACGATTTCTGCAGTCTCTTCTTTCTTTCATCACCAATCATCTCAAACTATGTCACAGTTTAAATATTTGATTCTGTGAAATGTTCTAAGAAGGAATGATTCTAGAATGTTAGAACCAAAAAGAACTTTAGAAGTCCCCCTAGCACACAAGGAACACTCAGGCAAGTCACACAGCAAGTTAGAGGCTGAGTAGACTTGCATCTTCAGCTCCCAGCTGAGAAGAAGGAAATGGAGCCCATGTTGAGAAGCTTTCCTTGCTGGCGCTGTTGATTATCACTTAGCACACAAGTCATGCCATCACAGATGGGGAATCAAGTCCCAATTCTGTCCTTGTGAAAGAAGTGTCTTGGACCCCCTTGTTAAAATGTCAGTGTCATTTGTAAAATAGTAGTTGTGAGAAGGTTTACATGAGACAGCATGTGCAAAACATTTGACACCCAATAAATAATAGTGATTTTTTTTTCCTCTGGTCAGTGAGGGTTTTTCTTCTCCATAGCACATCTCAAGGGTCTTGGAGGGAATTCCTTCACAGGGTATTTGTTAGAAGGCTGTACCTAGTTTATTATTCACTTGCATTCAGAGAAGCACTGCCCAACATGGGACAGAGATAGTAGGGGCACAAGGATAGGTACGATTTAAAAAGAGCAGCAGGTAGGAGGTGGAAGGTCTGGGTCTGAGCATTGCTCTACTGTGAGGACTTTGAGTTCCCTGAGACACTCCATGTCTCTTCTCTGAGCATTAGTGTCTTCCTCCAAGAAGTGAAAGCATTGAACTTGACCTCAGATGTCCCTGCCAACAGGAGCAACCCGTGTTTCCTTGCCTTTTCTCCCAAGCTTCTTTTTCCATGCTATTTATAACACTTTTATTGCTTACTAGGAGAAAAGGAAGCAATCCCATTGGATGACATTGAAATTGACTGAAATGCTTATTGAAGGAATGAATAGGATTCAAGATCACACCCTTGCCTATTGACAAAGATTAAGGGAGGGAGCTTATTTAAAAGAATGGGGAATTTGCCTGGAACAAGGTGGCTTGTGTGCTTGGATCCTTCCTTATGGAGTGAATGGACATAATTCAAAACCAAGCTTTCAGCTGTGGCTTTGTACCCATGGGCAATGTGACCCTGCATAAATCACTTAACTTCTCTGAGCCTCATTTTCTTCATGTCTTTAAAAAAAAATCTATTTGCAGGTTTGTATAAGATTACAGCAAGATGAAAAGGTATAACAGGCCAGTGCAGTGCTCAGACATGAAGAGGTTTGGCTTGGCAGCCTTCAAAGAATGGCTGCTGTGAGTTAGAAAAGAGGCACCTGTCTTGTGAAAGACTTCAGGAGGAATTAGGGTGTTTACCCTAGATCCGTGCTTCTTAGTAAGGGACAATGTTGTCACCCTTCCCCTCCCATCCAGTGGAATATTTGGCAGTCAGTTTTGGTTTTTCCAGACACTGTTGATTGACACAACTGAGGGGACTCTATTGGCATCTGGTGGGTAGAGGTCAGAGATGCTACTCAACATCCTGCAATGTGCAGAACAGCCCCTTGGGATGTGTTGGGTGAAGTGGTCTCTGGACTGTGTTTGGCTTTTCCAGTGCCTGACACAGTGGTAGATTCTTCACAGGTGTGGGTTGAATCAAGGTCATAGGAAAGTAGGGACTTCCTCATTGGATGAATCCCTAGGGTACTCAGCACCCAGGGCTGGGAATAAGGTTGGAAGATTTCAATCAAGATAAGTGAGATGTTATCTACCTTTGTCCCACTACCATGTGAGGCAGCAAGCATTCCATCTCTGGGGTGTTTGAGCAGAAGCAGATACCCATTCCTTAGGAGTGCTGAGACCAGAGTCCTGCACTAGACAGGGAACTAGGGATCAGGCCAGGGACCCTCTAAGAACTTTTCAGTTCTGAGAATCCCTTCTGGGTCCAGGGATTCTGATCCCAAAGGAGACTCATAGATCATGAAGTTCAAGCCCTAAATTTTGTAGAGGGATAAGTAATTGAACATGGGACAGGAGACTTGTCTAAGATCCCTGTGCTGTTGGATACACTGTGAAGATCACATGCCTGGTCTCTCACATCTATTCAAATGCTCCTTCTACTTGGCCCTCAGCTGTGATTCCAAGAAGGCAACTGAAGAGCTGGAGTTGGCAATGCTTTCTGGTTCTTACCCCAGGAGTTGCAGATGTAGCTTAAGGTGTATCATGGGCTAAAAACTTGGCTTGGGTTCATGGTTGCAGGCACAGTGAGAAGCATCAACACTGATCTTCATAAACAGTCAGCCTGGTACAGCTCCATTGCTGCCTCCCTGAGGAAGCCCCTCCCCACCCCCTACTCAGTGAGGTCTCCTCTGTGAATCTCTCCATACTAAGTTATATCCTCAGCATGTCCCCATTTGACTAGGCTCCAAGGACTAATCTCCTTTTGACCCACCTTCTCACTTCTGACATTTTTTCCCCCTTTTGTATTCCATGGAGCCTTACCCCCAACACCTGAGCTGGAGTAAACTATTCATTCCTCTGCCCCTCCCTCTCCTGACTCTGGACTTGCATCAGATTCACCTCCAAACACCCAATAGGGGTCTGTATATGGCTGATAATATTTACTCTTTGTTGAATAAATGCATGAGCAGATGAGAATTGGATGCTGAGTGACCCCTCCACACACCTCAACCCCTACAGATCAAGGATGTTGTGGGCTATAATTCGTTGGGCCACTGCTTCTTCACGGAAGATGGGCCAGAGGAACGCAACACTTTTGACCACTGCCTTGGCCTCCTCGTCAAGTCTGGAACCCTCCTTCCCTCTGACCGTGACAGCAAGATGTGCAAGACAATCACGGAGGACTCCTACCCAGGGTACATCCCCAAGCCCAGGCAGGACTGCAAGTGAGTGCCTCCCTTGCTCCTGCCACACTGGGGCCTGTGCCGCCCTCGGTGACACCTGCTCTCTCCACTTTCTGCTCAGCACTTGATTTCCCCACCTCGGTGCTTCTGAGCAGACATTAATTGCCTTCTACTGAGAACCTGGAGGGGAGGGAGGAGTGTGTCTTCTCCCTTCTTTCTTTCTGCTCAGCTTGCCTCATGCAGTTTTGTCCAAAGAGAACCACTATTCTCACCCATGCACTTTACTTGATGCCATACAGCTTTCTTTGTGGAAAGGAAGGGTTTCCATCTTGACTCCCACAGTGGTACACATTGATCCCAACCTCACTGATCCTTTTCCAGTCATGGTAGACTGAGTTAGAGACAGAGCTTCCTGTGCAGCTACCCTTCCAAGCCCGGGGCCTGTCCTGTAAAAATGGCTTCTTTCCTGGGTTCTTACAGATCCAGTGTTAGACTTCACCACAAACTACTTTTACCTTAAAGGGGCTTTTTTTTTTTTTTTTTTGTCTTTTCAGTACTGGGGATTGAACCCAGGGGCACTCTATTACTTGAGCTGCATCCCCAGCCTTTTTTATTTTTTATTTTGATACAGAGACTTGATAAGTTTTCCACACTGGGGCTCAAACTTACCATCCTCTTGCCTCTGCTTCCTGAGTCAATGGAATTATAGTTATGTACCACCACACCTGGCTGCGCCATTCCCCTTTTCAATTTCTGAACATTTTATATTCTTAAACAGGTGGCCCTTTAATTAAAAGAAAAAAAATGTTTCAAATGGACAAATAAATGATTTATTAAATCTCTTCAAACTAATATTCAAGTTTCCTGTATGGGTCCATGGTGCAGCAGAATTAATGTTAGCAGGCCTTTATGTGATGCCATTCAATTTCTGTCCCCTCTCTGCAGTGCTGTGTCCACCTTCTGGATGGCCAACCCCAACAACAACCTCATAAACTGTGCTGCTGCAGGATCAGAGGTGAGCTGAAATCCCTTTCATTTGGCAGAAAGTAAGATGGAGATGGCAGAGGCTGCCCCTGAAATATGGAGCTCTTGAGTTCCAACTCCAATTGTTAGTGCAGACAGGCTTAGCTAGAGTGAAGAAGAAAATTAGCCAGTGGGTGGCAGAGAGTCCTTTGACTTGGTTTTAAATGACAGCTCTGTCACTTCATAATCCTGGTAACCATAGATAATGAGTACTAAGCACTTTATATGTAATAACTTGTACTTAGAGTTAAATTATTTTTTCTTAGAAGGGTGCCTGGCATGTTACTGTTGTAAGTTAATGAAATCTGATTCTTGCATCCACACTGTGGCCTAGATATGATTATTATTCCCATCTGATTGAGGAGGAAACTAAGGCAGAGAGAACTGGGTGCTCAGGGGCACACACAGCTGGGCATGGTGTGCCAGATGTGAGCACAGTGTTCTGTCTATACAGACTTACTATACCTGTGACCCTGGCCCAACTGGTGCTCTCTGGAGTTTCCATATCTGCAGAATGAAGGGAAAAGCTGAGAATACTTCCTGGTGCATCAGGAAGAGGAGTTTAACCTGCGTAGTATCTCTGAAACCCAGCAATTCAGAGATAGAGTAGAATAAATGTTAGTTTTAATTCAGGGTGGACCCCACAAGCTACTCTTACCTCAAATATTTTGCTGTTTCCCTTCAAGCACTGGACCACATGGAGTTGCTTGGTTGGCAAGTGGAGAAGGGGTCGTAGTATTACACCCACCCCAGTGGGGGCTACTTGGTCATCCTGAGCAGCTGCCTATTGACGCTGAACTATGTGACTTTCTTGTGCTCTGTCTCAACAGGAAACTGGATTTTGGTTCATTTTTCACCATGTACCGACAGGCCCCTCTGTGGGAATGTACTCCCCAGGTTATTCAGAACACATTCCACTGGGAAAATTCCATAACAATCGAGCACATTCCAACTACCGGGTAAGTCTTTTCAGACAGCACCTCCCTGGCCTGCGTATCTGTCCTCTTCCTGGGTCTGCAGATGATTAGAGCTGAAACAACTGCACTCTTAGCACCAATCTGGAAGAAAACAGCAGTTTCCCAAGCCTGCTAGCCACTGACCATTCTTTATAAGAGTTTCCTATGGTGGGAGCCTTAAAAAAATTTTTTTCTTTTTGGCCTGAGGCATAGCCGTTCCCTTCTAGGAGCTTCAGTTTCCTATTCTGTACCATTAAAATTAGATCAGAACATCGGCTTATCAATATGCTTATCAGCATCCTTGAGACCACCTCTGTCCCCAGAGCAGACCTCTGGTCTCAGCTTCACACCAAGTTCTCTTGCCACATCCCACAGTCTATGGTGGACCCTGCATTGACATCAACAACCTCTGGGCCTAGCCAAAAGGAGCAAGATGCAGCTTCACTCTGGCTGAGGGGAGGGCAGCTTCTCCTGGAAGCCCCTAGGCTGAGCACCTGAATTTGATTTTGTGATTCATTTGCAGGGATTGCTGTTATTTACAATGAAAAGTCAGTCTTGACCCATAAGCTAAGGAAAATCAACATGATTCCAAAAGTGGCATCAGCATCCTCACCCATTCCCTTCTTGTTCTGTTGCTCGGGTAATGGGTTGTTCGATCTACACAGAGTTAAGTAGGCATATAGGAAACGAGATATTCCTCCATATCTTCATTTACTTCTCAATATTTCTTAAGCATCAAGCAAAGGTTGGGGGACAAGATGACTAGGATATTGCATCTGCTGACCTCCAAGTGGGATAGCAGTTCAGACCTGAGCATGGAACACAGCAATGGAGCTTGGGGGAGGCTGAGATCAGAGGTACTGCCCTCTGGGCAGAGGTGGTCTCAAGGATGCTGGGGCAGCACATTCTTAAACTGGTGTCCTGGTCTAATTCCTAATGGTACAGAGGAGGAAACATCCTGGGTCCAAAAAAAAAAAAAAAGTATATATATATATATATAAAAGGTTTAATCAGGAGAAGAACAAAAAGGCAATATACTCTCAGAGCAGCCTTGTGCTTACACCTAGGGGAGACCCCTGGCAGTGGCATGTCTCAGAGACTAAGGTGAAAGATAGTTCCGTGGGGCCACAGGTAGTGATATGGAGGAGAACAGCACTACCTTGATAGAGGTGAATTTGCCCAAGGTCTCCAGTGGGGCATTTCTGAGGCTATCATGGGCGTCAGCATTGTACCCATACAGAGGCACGTGCTGAGGCCATAATGCTGCTGGTGGTGGAGTAGGGGAATAAAGTGGAGAATGAGTTGGCTTCTTGTGGGGAACTGTCAATCTCTGGTCCCTTGAGAAGCTTCCCTGTGAGCAGGGGAGATGGGCCACATAGTACCTGGGAGGTGTGGGGAAGCTGAGAAGGAGAGGAGATGGAAGAAGAAGGGAGGATAGGCAAGGGCTCACTGGTGCAAATAGTGGGTGGGACTTCGGGTGATAGCCGGTCTTATCCTCTGAGGCAGGTGGGAAAGAAGTGGAAAGGACCTCCATCTGGATTAACTTGATTGGTGCTCATGACTAGTGAGCCTTGCCTCTACACCACAGTGTGTGGGTCTTCTTCCAAGTATCTTTTCCTGTATATCTTAATCGTCCTCATAGCCATGCTGTGAAATAGTTGTTATTAACTCATTTTGCAGATGACAAAGACTAAAGAGGTGAGTAGGCCAAGCACAGTGGCTCATGCCTGTAATCAGGAGGATTAAGAAAGATGCTATCTCAAAATTAAAAAAAAAAAAAAAGGACTGGGAATATAACTCAGTGGTAGAGCACCCCTGAATCCAATTCCTAGTACAGAAATAAATAAATAAATATACTCTCAGAGCAGTATACTTAGCAGTAGATGGGTGGGTTGATTTTTCTAAAGTCCTAATTCCTGAGAATAGATCTAGGAGTCTAATTCTATATCATCTGACTCACATCACAAGAATGCATACCTTAAGTCCTTGATTTGGGGCCCAGGATAATAACTATAGAAAGAAGTGTGGATTCTGTGTAAGGATTTGACTATGGGGCCTTGGAAAAGATACTTTTTAGAACTCAGTTTCTTCATCTACACCTTAAACAGGACACTTCCCCCCCCCCATATTTGGTCTGAGTCACACAGAACAAGGCATGTTCTTTTTGCTGTACACTGAAGACCCTCTATTCCATAAATGATGGTTTTACTGGCACATACAGGAGGATGTAATAGGCTGGATGTGACAAGATGCCTGTGGTCTGCAATAGCAGCTGATGTGTCCTCTCTCCCCAGGCTGGCATGATCATAGACAACGGAGTCAAAACCACAGAGGCCTCTGCCAAGGACAAGCGGCCCTTCCTATCTATCATCTCAGCCAGGTAACAGACCCTTGGGAAGACACATCCTCCATAGTGACCCCTCAGTCCAACTCCCTTCTCTTCTTCATCTCTTCCTCATCAGTCCTGTTGAGAACTTTCTATGGGCTGGGCATTGAACTAACTGCTGAAGGCACCACGGTGAAAATTCTGAGCAGGGTGAAGTCTGAATTAGGAGTCAGTCTCTAGTAGCCAAAAGGAGATTGAAAATTCTTAGAAGTTTCTAGATCCCTCAGCAAAGCCAATACCTGGAAAGTCAATAGGAATGGCCAGAGCATGGCAGTTGGGGCTGGAATTAAAAAAAAAAGTAAAAAGAAAAGGGAAGAATTTCACTGTAAATTTAAAATAAACAAACAAACAAACATGTAGATTATGCCTATAAGTCAACCTGGAGCTCAGCTGAAAGCCAGAGACAACTTTTAAAAGGTGCTGCCAAAACCTGAGGGTCATTATCAAAACCAGTACCCTATAAAAGGTCTAAGTTGTTTGGTCTCCATCAAAAGTGGGCAACACTAGTAACATGATAATGCCCACAGGACACGAGGCACCAATATGCACCGGGCTCAGCACTACATTTTGTAGCTAAGAAGTGCCAAAATAAGGCACTAGTTCAAAGTTGACCACTAGTTAATGGGAGAGCTGAGTGTCACAGACTGTCCTTCCAGGCCACAGGGGCTGCATTGCATGCCTGGATGGCACTGGATGTCTGAACTTTCCTCTGTGATTTGATCTCACTTAAGGGACAGCTCTTAGTGGTGCTGATGGATGAAAAAAGTGATGTTTGCGTCTGCTTGGAGTTGGGCCCTGGAGAAAAGCCTGCTTGCCTCTGTGATGGGCTCAGAAAGTTCACCCCAGAGCCCGGGCAATGCTGATCAGTGTTTATTCAGTGCTGTCTGACTCCATGAGTACAGAGGAGCTCACAGAACCCAGGAGGGAGTCAGTACAGCAGATCCTCTCAACACCCCGTGTCTGTCCCATGGTATTCCAGATACAGCCCTCACCAGGATGCTGACCCGCTGAAGCCCCGGGAGCCAGCCATCATCAAGTACTTCATAGCCTACAAGAACCAGGACCATGGGGCCTGGCTTCGTGGTGGGGATGTGTGGCTGGACAGTTGCCGGTGAGTCGTGAGTGATGTGTAGCATTGGCACAAAGGAGGCATGAACCATCCTCCCCACATCTGGAGTATGAACAAGTCAGAGAAAAGAAACAAGACAGATCAGCCTTTGGCATTCTGGTCTCCCAGAGGTAGGAGCATTAGAACAGCAGCAGGAAATGGCCAGAAGAAATCAAAAAACAAAACCCCAAAACAGCATATTGCCTTCAACCCACAGTGCCAGGTGCTGGGAGTCATGATTTTTCTCTGAATAGCCACTGGCTTCACTCTCTCAAGGTCAAACAGCCAGCCAACTAAGAGATGGAAGAAGAAAAAAGTCAGAATATTCAAGGCACCTACTACATGCCAAAGCCTTTGTTGGATTTCTTTCTTACCACGGTTTTCAAGAATATAAATTAGTACCTCCATCTTAAAGATGGTGATCTAGGCTCAGTTTAATGAGTTTCCCAACATCACACAACTAGTAAATAATCAAACCAGGACTCAGCACTCCAAGGTGTTGGTTTCCAAGACATAGTGAAAAGGGCCAAGAATATTGAGTTCTGAGATAAGGTACCATATAAAGCCACTGGTCACACTGGACAAATACCAAAAGGGACAGCAGCTGAGCAGGAGTTTATTTTGTGGGAGTATCATGAAGTGTTCTCTTCATTTGACTTTTTTAAAAAATTTTTTTCATTGTTGTTGATGGACTTTTATTGTATTTATTTCTATGTGGTGCTGAGAATCGAACCCAGTACCTCACACATACTAAACAAGTGCTCTACCATTGAGCTACAACTCCAGCCCCTTTGTCTGACTTTTGTGATAAAAATGGGAGATCAGAGCCACTTGAGAGGCTGAAGCAGGAGGATTGTGAATTCGAGGCTAGCCTTAGCTAAGTTGCAAGGCCCTAAGCAACTTAGAGACCCTGTCTCAAAATAAATAATAAAAACTGAGCAACTTAGAGAGAATCTGTCTCAAAATAAAGAATAAAAAGGGCTGAAGATGTGGCCCAGTGGTTGAGCACCTGTGAGTTCAATCCCCAGTAACAAAAAAGGTGTATGTGTGTGTATGGGGGGAGAGTGTCAGAAACTTTGTATAGGAGATAAAGGCAAAGGGAATGAAAGGAAATAAAAAGCATGCAAAGAGGGAAACAGAGACACTAAATTGACAGAAGAAGGGAAAGAGGCTGCCTTGAAAAGCAGAAATCTGGGGAGAGGCTGACTGTAGGCTGGGAGACGCATGAGTACCAAGCACACCCTGAAAGATGTTCTGGGAGATAGGATTGCTGCCAAGAGATGGAGGGAACTTTGCTCCTCATAAGGAAAGAGGGGTCATTTATTTTTAAAAGAGGGGAAGGGAAAGAAGAGAGCCAATCTGAATTTTTGAAGGAATTTAGGAGAAGAGGGGGAAGGCTTATTCTAACTGGCATTAGAGGGCATATTTCAGTTCCGAAGAAGTGAGAACTTTCTTATAATATGGAATACTATTCAATGAAATCAGTTGCTTAGCTGTAGAGCAGAAGTCAATGGTACTTGAGAAGGATACTATTTAGGAGGCAGATGGAGGCCCTGGTAGAAAAGAAACTAGATGGCATCAATGCTGAAATTCTCTGCAAATGTCCAGAGAATTTGTTGGTTCTGATTTCTTGGGCATTTCAGAGTTTAGGTTCCCTATAGAGACAGTAAATGCCAGACTTGGAGCAGCAAGAAAAATGGTCATGATCTTCTGCCTGTGGGGCTGTCTCTTCTAATGCTCCATCAGACTCATTCTAAGGAAGCTCAGTGCTGGATTGGCACAATGGCTGCAATCCCACAGTGTATGTGGTCAGGGACTGACAGAAGATGGGGATCCCTTTTGAGAACTTTGGGCATTTGGTCAATGTGGCCTTTTCAGGAAGGTCACTGTGGTGATCACTGGATGGAGGCACAGATGGGAGGGGGCTCTCCTGGAGGTAGGAAAGCCAGCAGAGGTATTACCACGATAATGCCAATGAGAAAGGATTATAAATAATGAGAATTTTGCTGAAACTTGAGTCTTTGGAATGGTGAGCACGTCTGCTAGAAGATCATTGCATTGTTTTAAACCTATTGAGTTTGAGATGTATGTGAAATAGTAAAAATGCTGCAAATTTTGGAAGCATAGGTAGGAAGAGTGACTGATTATAGAATCACCAGCATTTTGGTGGAGAGGCAAGCTGTTAGTCTTTCCCGGGGACACAATAAAGAATGAGGGAACTACAGGAATGCAGGGGGGTGGGTGGTGATGATGTGGAAAAGCTCGGGGGCTGGTTCACATCTGGGAGACAAGAATCAAGAAGCTTTAGAAATGAACTGGAAAATATGATGCTCTGGAAGATGGACCTTGAATAATTGATTTGAACTGGATGGATCTCCAAAGAGGGGGAATGCATGTGTCCTAAAATAAAGTACTCAGAGGATGAAAAAGTGCATTTAGTCAAGGGTCGCATGTTTTCTCTTATATGTGGAAGCCAGAGAATAAAAAACAAAAGAAAGGTGAGGGGGAGTGTTCTCTCATGAAAATCAAAAGGAGTAGAGGAAAAGGACCAGAGGGAGGGAGGAGGGGAAAGAAAGGAGAAATACTGAGGAGTGATATTGGCCAAATTATATTGTTATATTGTGCTCATGAACAAATATGTAACAGCAAATCCCACCATCATGTACAACTATAATGCACCAATAAAAAAGCATGGAAAAAATTAAAAATGCACAACTCAGTAATACACAAACAAACAAACAAATAAAGTGCTCTTGGGAACTAGAGAGCATTCAAGCCACCAGAATCAGCTCAATATGCTAAAGCAGAAGGAAACATGGACTCACTAGGCTCTTAAATGCAAGGGTAAGACTTGGGCTTGGATGTGTAGGTGATATGAAGCCACTGGAGGTGTAGGAAACAGAGAATGATTGGTGACAATGGCACTTTGAGAAAATGAGCCTGGCAGGATGTCCAGGACAGGTGGAAGGAACAGAAAAGTAGAACTATCTGCCTCAGGATGGAGGACTTGAAGACAGCATAGACCCAAGACTCAGCTCAGGTCCTGTATCTGTCAGGTGAGACCAGACTTCCTCCAGAAGCATGCTCACCTGGACACTTAAAAAGGGCAGAGTGAAAAAGCAGCAGAGTAGGTGACCACAGTGCAATTGCAAAATTTCTTCATGCTTTTCTCAGAACCAGCATCTGTCTGAATTCCAGGAACTAGGAATTTAGTTTTTGTGCTGCTGTGGCTGAAACAGTAGTAAGGATGGCAAGTCACATAACTCACCTGTCCCCAGTGCTGGCCCTGAGAGTGGTGAGGTCCTCCAGGTTCTCTTGGCTAAATCTCCTATTAGACCTGCAATTGCAGATGGTGGGCTGGGGAGGGAGACTTATGAAACTGAGCCTGCCCATGGCTTACTGAAGGTAAGACTATTGGAGTCACTGTTTTCTCTCTGGAGTCAGACACAGAATGGGAGTGGATTCAGACTGTCCCCTTACTTTACAGAGTACAGAATCGCAATTCCTTCTCCAAAGTCAAACTGTGTACATGACTTTGCTAAGCATGGAACACATCTTGACTGTCTGCTCTTGTCCTCAGGTTTGCTGACAATGGCATTGGCCTGACCCTGGCCAGGTAAGAACAACTGTCCTTGTGCTTGGTCCTTTATAGGAATTTGTCTCTGGACTTTTCACCCCAAACATTTTCTCTCTACAGTGGTGGAACATTCCCATATGATGATGGCTCCAAGCAGGAAATAAAGAACAGCTTGTTTGTTGGTGAGAGTGGCAACGTGGGAACGGAAATGATGGACAACAGGATCTGGGGCCCCGGAGGCTTGGACCACAGTGGAAGAACCCTCCCTATTGGCCAGTACGTTTGCAACTGTGATAGTCACTTGGTTTTGTGTGGCTTAACCTAAGTGATAGCAATGGAACGAAAAAATTTGTGGGTGATTTCGCTCTGTTGACTATGAATTTTTCTGTCCAGAGAAATAACTGAGATTATTGAGACTAGCAATGAAGAGGTGGAGTCTGGATCAGGGAGACAGAAGCCAACAACATTGAATTTGAATCAACAGGATGGCAAGGCCATCAGAACGCATAATATGGCCCTGGTCTATGATAATGAGAATATCATTTCCACAATGTGGGACTGTGGGTCCTGGTCTTCTCCAATAGGAGGCTCACTTGGAGACTTTTATTCATTTCTGAGGTTGGAAAAGTGACAGAGCACTCTTACAGGAGAATAAATTGGAGGGTGGCAAAACCCACAGCCATGCCTCATGTAGACTGGGATCTTCAACCAGGAGATGGGATTATCCTTGGGTAGACACATTCTTAGTGCTGCCATGCCCACAAGAGATAAGGCAAGTTTTCCCAGGGGCTTGAGGGTTAGAACTGATTTAGGTCAGGAAATACTTTGCTAGCAGTCAGATTTGTTCAACAATTAGAATAACAGGATTGTCCTGAAAAGTCAGGAGCTCTGTTGCTCCTAACTGGAGGAGATCAAATGAAGGTTGGATGATGACTAGGTGGCTGGGCAACAGAGCAATGTACTCAGTTCCTTGGAAAGCACAGCCTGGGTGAGCAGGGAGGATTCCCTCCCCTTCTGTTGCTATTTCTGCCCAGATGTGAATTCAAGCCAGAGAGGAAGACTCTAGCTCACCAGCAATGCTGTTGTCCCAGGGTTCCCTGTGATAAGATCAGCCCTGCTTTTCTCCCTGTGGTTTCTTCCCTAAGGAAATATAATCCCTTGTGCTAGAGTCAGGACACAAAATATATACAGACTGAGTGGAGGTGCATATTGTAAGGGACTTTGCAAAGGCTGATTCTGGTCTCCTGGGATGTGAGCTAATGAGAAGTCCTTGTTTCTGTCTCACATAAGAGATATAGCAGTCCCTTCCATCACTTTGATAAGTGACTCTGGGTCTGCATATTAAGGATTTCATGGCAGAGAGTTCCCAGCCTCCTAGGGCTGGAATGTTCTGCTGAATCCAGAGATGGTCTGAAGGTTCTGTCAGATTCAGGAAGGTTCTTCACACTGCATTTCAAAGCAGGAACCTGGGACTGTACAGTCCCAATCACAGTAGATTCATGCTGAATAGAACTGGGTTAGAGTCTGAAGGTAAAGGTAATATATAATTTAAGTTTAGAGCTTACAAGAATGGGCTGTCCCTAAAATACCTTCAATGGTAAAATGCATGGAACCACTCCATGAGAATCAGGATTCAAGGTGATAGCATTAATAAGTTATAAATGTAAACACATAAAAATGCAAGGAGCTTGTGGTGTCCACTGAAGTTGGGTTGAAAAGATCGGTGTGATCAGGGACTTTTTTCCAGAGTCATGTTGGAATGGAGGGGACCCAAGTTGGGAAATGGGATAGTGGTCTTCTAAGCAACAGATCCATATCTGTTTTCTACTCCTTCTCCCCACCCTTTTTTTATGTTCCCTGTAGAAAGTTACCAACACAAAGGAAGAGACACCAGTATAAGCACAATGCTAGACTTGAAGGCCCAAGTGCCAATAAAGGCCACAGGAAGCCCATTTGGTACCTCGTGGGCCCTGGCTCCCTATAATCTGCTCAGGAGTCTGAGGCAAATGGGAGCAACCTCTGAGCAACCTCCTCCTGCCAGGCCAAGGCAGTTTCTAAGTCTGGTTCTTCTCCAGCCCTTCCCATATTCTTTCTCCTGTCTTCTGGGTGTCAGGATTTCTTGGGACCCTCTGTCACTCTTGCTTCTCAGCAAGGGCTGTCTTTCTTTTAGAGATGCTTGGAAGATTGCATTGCAAATATTTTTTTTATCACCTTCCATTCTGTGTCTTCTTTTCCCCTCAATTTCCCAGGCCACATTGCCAATTGAAAGGCTTATTCACAAGGAGAAACTTCTGAGTCTTAATCTGATTACATTGTTATAGCAACTAAAACTAAGGCGTTAATGAGTAACAGTACTCCCTTCCCAGTGGATATAATATTGGCACCCTCCAGTAGCATTTATAGTATTTACCCAATGATTCTTCATATGATGGAAAAGTTGGGGGAAATATTTGAATAGAGGGCCTTCCCCAAGCCTCATGCCAGCAATTAGATGAATATTTATTTGTCCACCCATCATCCACCCATTCACCTATCCACCCACCCACCCATCCATCCATCCATCCATCCATCAATCTGTCCATCCATCCACTCATCCACCCATCCATCTACCTATCTATCCTCTTATCCATCCATCCATCCATCCATCCATCCATCCATCCATCCATCCATCCATCTGTCCACCTGGTCATTCATCCAGCAATCATTCATTAACACTTGCTATGTCAATACATGCTTTCTCAGTAGATTAATTAATGAATCAATAATGATTTGGGGTTGGGGAAATTGCTGGGGGTGGGGACCAGGACTGGTTTTCCCCAGAAAGTTTCTCCTGCCACCCTCCTCAGAAGAGATAAACATGGCATTCAAACTGATGGCTGACTTCCTAACTCCACAGGAATTTTCCAATTAGAGGAATCCAGTTCTACGATGGCCCCATCAACATCCAGAATTGCACCTTCCGAAAGTTTGCTGCCCTGGAGGGACGGCACACCAGCGCCCTGGCCTTCCGCCTGAACAACGCCTGGCAGAGCTGCCCTCACAACAATGTGACCAACATTGCCTTTGAGGACGTCCCGGTAAGTGAGGCGCCAGGACAGCCTCCTGACCAACCCAGACTTTGGATGGTGATTCACAAGTCCCCCAGGGCTTGGAGATTGAGCTGTTGCCACCACCACAGGGGTTGAATAGCCTCCTCCAAGTAGGCTGGGCCATGTCCCAGTTAGTTCTGTTTCCAAACTGGAAAAGTACAAGCATAGGTCACCCCATGGGTCAAGTCTTGGTAAGTGCCCGCTCACCCTCCCTGATTGGAACCCACTTATGCCTCAGCAGGAACTGTAGGATGGACTTAGGGTTCTGAGGCTGTTCCTCCAAGGCTTTGACATACTGGCTCTGGTGACCAGACCACCTGAGTTGGCAAAAATAATCTAAACCCCAGCAGTTTCCAAGGGAAGTCTTTACCAAAGATGTCCTGTTTAATCTCACCCTGAGAGAAAAGTGTAAACAGGGGCCTCCTGGCCATAGCAGAGCCAGCAAACTAGGAGCAAAAGGTGAGGAGATCAGAACAGGGCTGCTAGTGACATCAGGCAGGTCCAGATCTCATGGCACATTTTCTTTGGGTTATGGATTCCCAGGCCTTTCCCTCCTCCCCTTCCCTTCTTCTTCCTTCTTGCCCCCTTTCTCCTCTTCCCTGCTCCTGCCTCTTCCTGTTTGCCAGTGACAACTGGCAGGATGTGAAACTTAAGTGACTTAATTTCTTCACTCAGGCCACTGAGAGCTTGAAAGAGATGAATTGCTGAAATTTTGAAGGGCTTGTGCTGCAGAACTGTGACCCAGAAACACACCACACAGCACACTCAACCTTTACATACACGTCGTACACCCCGTGTGTGTACATATCCTTATACAAACATTCACCATCCCGTCCCCACCCTTCTCTCTCTCACACACACACACACACATATTCTCTCTCTCTCATTGCTAGTCCCCCTCCTCCCATCTGTGCAGGAACTGTAGGCTGGACTTAGGGTTCAGACCCATCTCGAGGTCACCATGGCAACCAGCCCTCCAGTGAGCAGAAGCCAAAGTTACATGCTGGGTCTGAGAGTGAGGCATAGTGAACTTTGGCTGTTCTTCCGGCTCCATAGCAGAGGTCAGCCATGCGGTTTCCTACAGTGCCCAAGAGCATCTTTGGTTTGGCTGGTTTGTAATGTCAGCGGAAATCGGAAACTTCGCCCTGGCCTGATGACGGCTATAGCTTCCCTTCACCTTCTGGCCCAGCCTAATTTTCCTGGGATCTGTTCAGATTACTTCCAGAGTGTTCTTTGGAGAGCCTGGGCCCTGGTTCAACCAGCTGGACATGGATGGGGATAAGACATCCGTATTCCATGACGTCGATGGCTCTGTGTCTGAGTACCCTGGTTCCTACCTCACCAAGGATGACAACTGGCTGGTCCGGCATCCAGACTGCATCAATGTTCCTGACTGGAGAGGGGCCATCTGCAGTGGGCGCTATGCACAGGTGGGAATGCCCCCTGGGGTGGGTCACTCCCTCACACACTCATGCAATACATACTCAGTGAGTGCCTGCAGTATGTCCAGCTTTGCGTTGGGCCAAAAAGAGATACAGAATTCTTTTTTTTTCTTTTTATTTCTTCGTTTTTATTTTTCCCCACACCTAGAAGGATTTTCACAAAATCAAAATTGAAACACTTTGTAGCAGAATGCTTAGATTTAGGGTTAAATGTTTGGATTCAAGTAAGGCTCTAGCACTTACTATGTGACAGTGAGCAAATTGCTTCTACTCTTGATGCTCCAACTTCTGCATCTGTAAAATTGGGATAATAGTTGAACCTTCTTAATGAGATTTTAGAGGTGACTTCGGATGGTGAAAATAAAATCAATGCCTCATCTGCCCTATGCAGTAGAAATATAATGCAAGCTGGGTGCAGCGGCACATGCGGGTAATCTCAGTGACTTGGGAAGCTGAGGCTGGAGGATTGCAAGTTCCATGTCAGCCTGTACAAGTTAGCAGGACCCTGTGTTGAAAAAAAGGTCAGAGGAGATATAGGTCTGTGGTAAAGCACACTTAGGTTCAATTCCCAGTATTGAAAAAAAATAAAGAAATAAAATAAATTTAATTTAATAATAGTTTGTATAAGTATACTCAAAATACTCTCTCAACATGTAATCCACATAAAATTACTGATGAAATACTTTACTTTTTTCTGTTCTAAGACTTCAAAGACCTACATTTATTTTATATTTATAGCTCACTCATTTAGAATGTCAATTGGCAACAAAATAAAAAGTAGGCACACCAAAACTATCAACTTGTGTTTAATAGGAAAAAGATATTTTACATTGCTTTGGTTTTGAAGCTTAAATTAATTAAAATAAAATTTAAAAATCCAGTCCTGAGCCACACTGGCCTTATTTCCAAGCCAGTGGCTACTGTAGGGGACAATGCAGGTCTGGATAGCACCAGGAATGGGGCAGGACCATAAGTATGAGTTAGCCATTATTGTGGTATTATTACTGCCATTATTTAGATGAATGACTGATGAATGCATAAAGAGGGAACCCTGAGAAAATGAAGATTTCTCAGATGAAGAGGGGAAGCATAGTGAGTGGTCCAGGGGGGAAGTAGATGTGTATGAATGAAGGAGCTGTCTCATGGCTCCTCCTAATAAGGCCAGCATTTTTATTGCCACTACAGGTCAAGAATTGGGGCTTTAGAGTACAGCTAAATGCAGTTTGGGGGGTAAAGAGAGATAGCAGAGGGAGTTAGTGCCAGGCTGAGGGGAAGCGTCACAGAGGCAAAGTAGGCACAGGGTGCAGCTGAGGAAGCAGGTACCAAAGGTGGGAGGGGCTAGCATTAGCAAGAGGAGGGACCAGAGGAAAGCAAGGGCAGGGGGCAGGGGCAGGAAGGAGAGTGTCTCTTTCTGCAGGAGACAGTGAGGTCATGTGTTGAGAATTCAGGGAGTGGGCCTAAGGAGGATGGCCTGCAGAGAGTGATAAAGATGCAGAAGAGGGATGTGGAAGAGCTGCTGAAGAGCGTGGAAAATGTTGGCAAGAGTCATGGGGCAGGAGCGCCTGGTGGTGTTGAAAACCCGATGGAGATCAGAGCTGGTGCATTTGAGAGGCACCTCTCTCCCAGGCCAAGGGGTTTTCTCAGCTGTGCTCAAGAGCCCTGGGAGAAGAGGTGGAATGATCCAGGGCAAGGATTCTGCTGTATGTGTGGATAAGGCAAGGGCCAAGATGCTAATGGGAATGAGTGGTTGATGGGCTGGTCTAAGGAGGATAAGAAGGGAGGTAGAGTCAGAGGGGAGCTGATAGATGGAAATCATGGCTTGGATAATTGAAGGATGACCAAATCCTCCAACCATGTATCCACACTCTTGGCAATAAACAGCATCACTGTGCTAAGACTTGGTGTTGTGCTGGGCACTATAGCACACAACTGTAATCCTAGCCACTTGAAAGGCTGAGGCAGGAGAATCACAAGTTCAAAGCTAGCCTCAGCAACTTAGCAAGACTGTCTCAAAATAAAATGTGAAAAGGGCAAAAGATATAACTCAGTGGTAGAGCACCCCTGGGTTAAATTCCCAGGACTGGGGGAAAAAAAAGACTTGGTATCCTATGTGAGGCCTTCTTTTTCCTTCCCTCCCTCTCTTTCTGATACATTGCTTATCTTCTGAAGAAAAGGGCTGATTATCAGAGGTTGCTGGGTTATCATAACTGGCTACTGGATAATTATTACTAATAATCTTCGTGTTATAGCTTAGAACGTGCTTTAACAGCTAAGCATGGTGGTACATGCTTGTAATCCTAGCTACTTGGTAGGCTGAGGCAGGAGGATCACAAAGTTGAGGCCAGCCCAGGCAATTTAGCAAGGGCTTGTCTCAAAATAAGAAAACAAAAAGGGCTAGGGATGCAGCTCAATGGTAGAGCACTAACCTAACATGCATAAGGTTCTGGGTTTAATCCTCAGAACCACAAATAAACAAAAATATTTAATAGACCTTTTACCTTTTGATGTCCATGGCAAGTCTATAAGGTGGGCAGGGTTGGAATTTCTCTATCTTTGTCTGTGATAAAAACTAGAGGGGAAAACCCTTTCTTTCCAAAGGCATAACTTTATTATACATTGTGTGATGGTCTCTTTTAGCCACAGCTTTACAGGTTGTTAGTCAACTTTTTGTCACTGTGATAAAATACCTGAGAAAAAACTTAAAAAGTGGAAAGGTTTATTTTGGCTCATTTTTCAGTCCATGGTTGTCCGGCTCCATTGCTCTGGGCCTGAGGCGAAGCAGAACATAATAGCAGAAGAGTGTAGCAGAGGAAAGTTACTCACATTGTGACACACAGGAAGCAGGGAAAAAGGGCCTGGGGACAAGAAATACCCTTCCAAAGCATGCCTCCAGTGACCTACTTCCTCCAGTGAGGTCCCATTTCCTACATTTTCCACCACCTCCCAATAGTCCCTTCAATTATGAACCCATCAATCCAATGATGAGATCAGAGCCCTCATGATCCAGTCACTTCCCCAAAGTTCCAGTTCTGAACACATCTGCATTGGAGACCAAGACTTCAACACATGAGCTTTTGTGGGACATTCCAGATTTAAACCAAAATGGATGTCACACTACAAATATGGGACTTAACATAAAACAGGACAATGTTTTAAACGAAGGCTGGTCCCTGGGATTCAGTGGCTGATAGTATTGCTTTCAATGTTTTTCTCTGAATGAGACACCATGCACTCATCCCGTGCACATAGGCTGACCACAAGGGACAGACACTAGAGTCAGAGGTAGAAGTAGGGCAACACACTCAAATACAGTCAGAGCAACGGTCAATTAAGCATCAGCTGCATTTTCAATAGGATTAGAAAAGTCTTTTCGCCCTTATTTCTCCTTCCACATGTCCTTCCTTTTACCAGAATACGTCATCTGAATACTAAGCAAACTCTCCCCAAGTGCTACTTAACAGAGCACTTTTTTTTAAAGATGCACAGAAAGCATTAGCTGGATTATACAGTCCTGCTTGGGCTGCATCCACCCAGCAGAAAGAGATGTCCCCTTATTTGGCCTTCCTTTCATTCAAGCCTTCTAAAAAGGGCTCTGTGAAGAGAAAGTGCTTTTGAAACTGCTGTCTTTAGTCAGATGTTAACCAGACGCTGCTCTTGGAATAATCCCTTGTAATCGCCTCCTTGTGCATTTCCTTTTTGGGTTTTAAAAGATGTACATTCAGGCCTACAAGACCAGCAACCTGCGAATGAAGATCATCAAGAATGACTTCCCTACCCATCCTCTTTACCTGGAGGGAGCCCTCACCAGGAGCACCCATTACCAGCAGTATCAGCCAGTCATTACCTTGCAGAAGGGCTACACCATCCACTGGGACCAGACGGCCCCTGCTGAGCTGGCCATCTGGCTCATCAATTTCAACAAGTGAGTGGGTGACCTGGGGATGGCTGCGCCAGCTGAGCACAGACAGTGGTGACAAGGCTAAGCCAATGTGATCCCTGCAGGAGGCATTGGAGGGTTCAGATCCTTCAGGAGTTAAAAACAGGTTGAGCTCCCACTCAGCATGGGTGACCTTGGAAAGACATCTAACCTTAGTTCCTTCACCTTTGTGGGGTGGGGATTGTATGACCTCACCAGAATTCAGAGAAGTAGTAAGATAATAAATGTGTAACAGGTATGTCACCCAGCATCTGCAATTACCAACCACTCAAGAAATGGCAAAAATGAGTAGATATTACTGTTGCTGATTCACAGAGAGGGAAATGAAGATCTGTGAGGGAAACTGACTAGGCCAAGGGCATCTGGATCCTCTTTTTTGTGTTTAAGTTCAAGTGTTTTCTTTGTGCATTATTTGCTTGTCACACTACCCTTGTAAGACAGATATTTATCTGATGCAAAAAATGAGACCTAGAGATAAAATGGGCCCTACGGTCCTGACCAGGAAGGGGATGAACCTAGATCCCTCATGTCCTGTGCTTTGAACTGTAGTCCAGTTGAAAGAATGCCTTTCCCAGCCAAAGTTCCATAGGGAGCACCCCCAGCACAGGCCTTGGAGCCCACAGCCAGCCTACTCCAGTGGGCCTCCATGCTCACTGGAAGCTGCCACCTCTACCTCTCCTCTTGAGCACTCAGGGACTCAGTCATTACCCATTACCAACAGCAAGATCTTCTCAACATTTCCCATACAAAAATTCTTTGGTGTCTCTTGGAGGGCACCCCAGGTCCCTAGGGCCTGGACATCCTTGCTTGGAACTGATTCTACTTCTGGTCCTAGGGGCGACTGGATTCGAGTGGGGCTCTGCTACCCACGAGGCACCACATTTTCCATTCTCTCGGATGTTCATAATCGCCTGCTGAAGCAAACATCTAAGACGGGCACCTTTGTAAGGACCTTACAGATGGACAAAGTGGAGCAGAGCTATCCTGGCAGGAGCCACTACTACTGGGATGAGGACTCAGGGTAAGGAGACTCCCACTGCCTGTGGGGAAGTGACTCGTTCTCATTTTGTCCCCCTGGCCTTTCCATAATCCTAAAAACAACCAGGTAGTAAATGCCAGCTAATGCAGAACACTTTCCTATATGCTTTTTTTTTGGTGCTGGGGGTTGAACCCAGGGCCTTGTGCATGTGAGGCAAGCATTCTACCAACTGAGCTATATCCCCAGCCCTTCCTATATGCTTTGATCCTAAGGCTGACTGTATCATGCACATATTTCTAAAGCTGTCAAGTCTAGGAAAGAACTAAATACTCTATTAAATATACCTGTGGATTGTAGGGAATTTACCCACCCCCCCATAAAAAAAGTGAAGGCATTCAAATCTGAATTAAAAATAAAAACAAAAACATGCATTATTCTAAAAAAAAAAAAAAAAAAAAACACCCAGTCACGACAAATGATATTATACCTAATTTATAGATGGGCAAAGAAGACACAAAGAAAATAGGAGTAACTTACTCCAAGATCTCAGCACAAACATGGCTGGATTTGAACCTACAACCATCTGTATCCAAAGTCCCTCAGCCTTTTGTTAAACTACCCTAGATTCTATTTAGCAGAAATATGATGGAAATAGAGTATCTGTTCATGGCAACAAGGGAGCTATTTGGTCCCTTTCCTTAAATGGAAATTTAGTTTAGTGACATAAGAATGTCAATACATCTTCAATGTGATGAAGCTGATGATCGGAAACCCTCAAGCCAGGGTAAAAAGGTCATTTATGGATATTTTTCTATTCTCTTTTGTGGGAGGAGGGTACTAGGGATTGAACCCAGGGGTGATCCAACACTTAGCTACATCCCCAGCTCCCAGCCCTTTTAATTTCAGTCTTGCTAAATTGTCAAGACTGGCCTTGAATTTGCAATCTTCCTACCTCAGCCTCTTGTTTTGCTGGGATTATAGGTGCCAGCCACTGCACCTGGCCCATTTTTCTATTCTTATTTTAAAGTCCATGAGAAGTAAATAGAAACCAGGTGTTGTTTTTTTTTTTTTTTTTTTTTTTAAGAGAGCTATCCATTCAATGAAGGGAAAATTAAATTAAATTTTAGAGGTCAGAAGTACAAGGACAATGTTGGGGTTGAGAAACAATAAATAATGCCCCCTTGTCCTGCATAAGTTCCAAGGCAACTGTGGGGCAGACCGGATAGCAGGTGAAGAGGACACTTCAGTTGTTCAGTTGTTCTACTGATTGATGAAGCTACTGGAGGACAGAGCTTCCCAACACTGTCCCCAGTTTTACCCACCTGGCTGGGCCAGTACCACACAATCATAGGCCCAGCCCCCAAAATTTAGGGTATAGAAGGGTAGATGGGGCAAACCATATGCCCCAAACCCATCAATCAGATGAGAAGTGGACAAAGGATGGGTCCAGGAGTATCTAAAAAAATTTCTGTATATAAAAGCTAGAGGAGTTGGAATTAGATATCCCACACACACAAGCGGAAAGTATTATCATTAAAAAAACAAATGTCAATGAGTCCCTGTGACATCATCCATGCATATTTTCTTCTTCTTTTAAGATTGTGGGAAATGAGATGCCCCAAAGATGTGAATTTTTTTCCAGTGGAAACTGCCACTAAATGAATCAAATGTCTTTGATCCAAACTTTTGGAGTTATTTGGGTTTTTTGGTGTTGGAGATGGAACCCAAGGCCTCATGAAATCTAGGCAAGCACTCTTATTGTGGGATAACTAGCACCCTGCCAGGGTAGGTTCCTGCTCAGGAGATGTGAGTTGCCTGGGAAGAAAAAAGTCTGAAATAATTAGTAAGAAATAGAGATAGAGCTAGAAACTAGATAAAGCAGAGCATCTGATAGGTCTTCTAGTCCTGATAGGAGGAGTATATCAAAGGCAGGGATAAGATTTCAGCGGGAGGAGTCTTGCTTTTCTGGTGTGGCAGGGGTCTTGCAGTAAACAGGTTGACTGGCATTTTGGCAAGCCACACCCGTCTCCAAGAGGCTGTGTGGCTCTAGTGGGTCACACCATCTCCGATGCTATGCTGACTTGTGATGGAGCTGGGTAGGAAGCCGCATAAACCAGGCTTCTCAAACCAGCAGGGTTGCTGCTGGGAGTTCTCGATACCAGGCTTTCCTGCCTAATGGCTTCAACATCATTTGAGTTCATGCACAGTTCACATATGTCATGGATGGCTTCTGGCACACTCTACCACTGAGCCACATCCGTAGCTCCTGATCAAAAACATAGGTTTTTAAAACCTATGATTTGTCCCCTTGTCACCTTTAGGCAGGTTTTGCTGCATAATTTAACCTTGTTTTGGGTAGCTAAGAGTATCATTTTGCCTACTGTTTATTAAATGATGCTTTAAATCAGTGATGTCCCTGGGGACTATAATCTGGGTAAAATGAGACGTATTTCCTATGAGGAAGGGTTCAATTACTTGGACTTTTTTTCATGCCTGGGACTGTGTTTAATCTTTCTGCCTTCTAACTTCTTTATTTCTTACTAGATTCAGAGCACCTACTCTCAGTAGCTATCTTCTAATCTATCATGGGCTGGGATATGTGATTACTAGCTTGTTATAATTAGGGATGAAATGAAAATAAGTAGGCTAAAAAGGAGGAGATTCCAAAGTATGAAGTATATATGCTGTGGATTGTCTGTTTTTAAAGATTAAGAAAATACTCAAGTGGTTTTAGCTGTGTTCTGAACAACTGAGTTTGCTTGATGCCACCTAAGTGGGCTATTACCAAATTATAAGCAAGCCTAGTACTGAAAGTACCATGGATAGTGCTGCTCTCAAATATCACCTGATCATGGCCAGGGGCTTACTGTCATCAGGGTTCATGCTCCTTCTATGCCCCCCAGGGCCTTGCAGCTCAGGTCTGCCAACTAGAATACATCCAAGTTGCAATTCAGGATGAGAGAAGGCAAATGCCGTCTTTAAAATAAGGAGCATGGGCTAGATGGTCTTGTAGGTCCCTCCCAGTTCAGATAATCTGCTGTATTCTGGCAACAATGTAGCCCTTTATCCCCTGTTATATTTTGGCAACAGATAATCTGCTGTATTCTGGCAATCTACTGTATTCTGAATGCTGCTAAATCTTGTGCAAAAGCTGGGAGCCAATCCCACTTCTGCCCCTTGGTTCCCTGGTATGGTTTCCAGAGGTGTGTGAGAGCCCCAGTAGGATGTGACCATGGAAGGGCTGGGGATATAGCTCAGTTGGTAGAGTGCTTGCCTTATAGGCCCTGGGATCAATCCCTAGCACCACACACACACACACACACACAAAAGATGTGACCATGAGAAGCCTGAGCTGCCCTCCTCCTAAACTCCTTAAAGGAAACTTGCCCCGCCTCCTCAGCTTCCCTTCTGACAGAGCAGGGAATGCATACTGTCCAGGCTCTACTCCCAGCCCACCAGCTTGAGACCTCTATAGCTACTGGTTCTATTTTATTCAGGGCTCGCTTAATGTAAGAAACAAAGTTTATTGATGTTAATGTCTAGAATCATGAAGCCACTCAGTGAGCTCAAGTCAAATGAAGAACACCAGCGAGTAGGAGGGTGGATGTGCTGGGGAATGATATTGGCCAAATTATATTCTTATATTGTGTGTTCAAATGAATGTATAACAACAAATCCCATCATCATATACAACTATGATGCACCAATTAAAAAATGTGGAAGATGGAGGTCCCACTGAAAGGAAATCAAGGCTCCTTCTCACATTCTCATACATGCACTTCCCCCACACACACATGCTTAGCCTCTGTATCTGCTTCTTGCCTCAAGCCTTCCTCTCCAGATTACTCAGGAGGCACATGGCACAAGATGGCTACCTCAGCCACAGTCCATGTGGACTTTCAGTTTGGACCAACCAGTGGGTCTTTTAATTCTAATTCACAAGAAGAAACTCTTCTTGGTTATCAGGTAGCCAATAAGCAGCTGCTCTGCAAGTCCATTGTGTGCCCTGGTCTGACCAGCTATAGTGTGATGAGGGATGGGAGCCATGACATCACGGCACAACCCAATGCTCAGGGCTTAGTGTCTCAGAGAGAGTGAAATCAGCAGAGAGTTGTGTGCTAGGTGTCCACACCACATCTTTTGATGTGGGACTCAGCCTGGAAGCATTTTTCTGAGCTAAAAGCACAATGATAATGAATCCCAAGTTAGTATGTGGCTTAGCCATAATCTGACTCCCTGTAATATTGGGTCAGCTTCCTTTACAATAATTATTATTTTAAATAAATTCTAAAATAATTTTTGGAATAAGTTATGGTTTGGGAAAAAAAGAGTGTTAGGAAGGGAGATAGCATTTCCTCATCACACACAATGATGAAATGGAAAATTCCAGCTCTGTCACTCCCCAGCTGTGTCGTCCTAGGCAAGTCACTTCACTTCTCAGGGCCAGTTTCCTCCTCTGGGAAGTCTGGATGATAACAGAACCCATTGGACAGGGTTGAGGATTAAATAAGTTCATTTATCAACTTATAATATGTGCATGGCATAGAGCATGCTATAATAGCCATCATTATTAGTTTCTTTTTCTTTCCTTTTTTTTTTTTTTTTTTTTGTTTCAGTATAAGCACCCAGGGGTGTTCTATCACTGAGGTACATTCCCAGACCTTTTTATTTCTTATTTTGAGACTGGGTCTCTCTAAGTTTTCCAGGCTGACTTTGAACTTGAGATCATTTTGTTTCCTGCTCATCCCAGCTTCCTGAGTAGCTGGGATTACAGGCATGAGCCATTGTGCCTCGCTCATTATCAAGTTTTTCTTCAATGTACCTGCTTTTTATTTCTCCAACTGCGTATGATCATTTGGCAGTCATGGGTCTGTTTTGTAAGGCCAACCAGGTCTCACCCCAGGGACAAGGACATGGTAAATGTTGTGGGTAGGGAGGAGGTACTGAAGGCCCACATGAACATCTGTGATACCTCCCATATGCAGGCTGCTGTTCCTGAAGCTCAAAGCCCAGAACGAGAGGGACAAATTTGCCTTCTGCTCCATGAAAGGCTGTGAGAGAATAAAGATCAAAGCTCTGATCCCCAAGAATGCAGGTGTGAGTGACTGCACAGCCACTGCCTACCCCAGGTTTGCAGAGAGGGCTGTAGTGGACGTGCCCCTGCCCAGGAAGCTTCTCGGTGCTCAACTGGTGAGTGGCGGAAGACAGCCTGGACCCTCTGTCTCTGTGGGCCCAAACTCAGTCAAGCTCCACTCTAGACATGTCCTGCTCCAGGAACTGTTTCCTGTTGTGGGGTCAGCGGTCACTGAGGGAACAACTACTCAGATCTGATAACATCTTGGGTTGTATTTGTATTCCAGAAGACAAAAGACCACTTTTTGGAGGTGAAGATGGAAAGTTCCAAGCAGCACTTCTTCCACCTTCGGAACGACTTTGCTTATATTGAAGTAAGCAGTGCTGATCCCTGTGGGGTCCTCATTAGCTCCATGAAAGGCAGTATGTCATTTTCTAGGGCTGTTGAAATAAGTTATCATGACCCATGCAGCTTAAGGCAAAGCAAATTACTCTCTCACAGTCCTGGAAGTCAGAAGTATGAAATCTTAGAAAGGGCTGGCTTCTTCTGGAGGTGCTGAAGGAAATGCTGTCCGGTGCTGCTGCTGATCCTTGGCAAACCTTGGTTCACAGGCACATCATTCCAACTTCTGCCCTGTCTTCACAAGACTTTCTGTCCTGGGTGTCTGAGTCTCACATCCTGCTCTGCCTTTATAAAGGCACCTTATCACTGGGTCAGTGGTGCTCACCTATAATCCTAGCAATTTGGGAGGCTGAGGCAGGAGGATGGCAAGCTCAAGGCCAGTCTGTGCAATTTAGTGAAATCCTGTCTCAAAATAAATCATAAAAAATGACTGGGGATGTAGCCAGTGGTAAAGTGCCTTTGGATTCAATCCCTAGTACCAAAATAATAATAACATAAAATAAAATAAGGACACCTATCATTGGATTAAGGACCCACCCTAGAAATCCTAGATATTAATTTCATCCTGAGATCTTTAATACTAAGTCGTGTGTGTATGTAATTAATACATCTACAAAGACACTATTTCTTTTTTTCTCCTCTTGATACTGGGGATTAAACTCAGGAGCACTTCACCCCATCCCTAGCCCTTTTTATTTTTCATTTGGGGACAGGTCTTGCTAAATTGCTAAGGCTAGCCTCAAACTTGCAATCCTCATGCCCCAGCCTCACAAGTGGCTGGAATTACAGCATGAACCACTGTACCTGTCTTGAAAGACACTATTTTCTATATAAGGTCACTTTCACAAACTCCAGGTAGACCTATCACTTGGGGACCACTGTTGAACCCACTACAGAGGGCTCTAGGGAATTAAGGAGGTTTAAGGCTTGAATAACCACATAGGCAACATCTGTCTTCAGGGTTTGCATGGGAACCCCCCAGGCAGGAGCAATCCAGGTATTGGCTGCCTTCAGGGTCCCACCTCAAACCCATATTGCTCTGGCTCCGCAGGTGGATGGGAAGAAGTACCCTAGCTCGGAAGATGGCATCCAGGTGGTGGTAATTGATGGGAGCCAAGGACACGTGGTGAGCCACATGAGCTTCAGGAACTCCATCCTGCAGGGCATTCCATGGCAGCTTTTCAATTACATTGCAACATTTCCTGACAAGTAAGTCCATGTCTCTGTTTCTGAAACTGTTTTAGTGGCACAACATACCCATGGACTGGGGCCCCATCCCTCTTACTGAGCCTTTCATTATGGTTCCCAGTCTGGAAAAGCTCAGGGAGTCCTGACAGTCGGCCCACAGATCACTGGTGCTGGATTGGGAAAGCATCATGCCTGTGAATGCTCATGTTGAAGCCAGAGTTGTTGGAATGTAGGTCAGGCTGAGGAGGACAGGCCTGCCCCCTTACAAATGGGAAGGCTCCCTGTCCTTCTTCCCCATTACTACACACTCTCCCGTGATGATCTCATCCCCTCCCACACCTTCAATAAGATCTAAATGCTGGTGGCTTCTGAGTATCTCCAGCCTAGATCTCTCTTTCCTGAGCACCAGATGTTCTATCCAACTACTGCTTGGAGATTGCCACCTGGACATTCCCTATGGAACTAAATTCTCTCTTTCTCTCTCTCTCTCTCCCTCCCTCCCTCCCTCCCTCTCTTTTTTGTGGTGCTGTGGATTAAACTTGGAGCCTCACGCACGCATGCTAGGCAAGGGCTCTACTGCTGAGCTACATCCCCAGCCCTCATCCTTTTTAATTATTTTTTATTTTTTGTATTAAAGATTGAACCCAGGGGTGCTCTACACTAAGCTACATCCCCAGTGCTTTTTATGTTTTATTTTGAGTGTCAGATTTGCTGAATTGCACCAGCTGGCCTGGAACTTGTATTCCTCCTGCCTTGGCCTCCTGAGTCCCAGGGGTTACAGGCATCTGCCCACTGGCTCTTTCTATTCTTTTATCTCCAAACCAGCCATTCTTTCTGTTTTCCCTGTTTTGATTACGTTGTCATCATCAATCTGGAATCTGGGCTTGGCACTTGACTCTTTTATTCCTTCAGTTTCTCTCTTCATTCCTAACATAGTACCCTGTCAATGCCACCTGGATTATCAATCCCCTGACAGTTCCCTCCACAGTGCCCTCTACCACTGGTCTATCCAGCCCTTCCTTGTTGGTCACCAATACCATGGGCACAGTCTCCTAATAGGCCTTCCTCTTCCTATCTCCCCATTTTCTATATTGGCTGCTGCTCTGAGCATCTTAAATGTGGATCACCTGTGTCCTCTACTGAGCAATTGTTCAGTACTTCCTTGCCACCTTCTGCATCTAACACACCTATCACCTCCTCAGTCTCCTCCAATCCAACTAAAAGTTCCCTACATGACTCACAGATGGGCGTGGTGGCACCTGTCTATAATTCTAGCAACTTGAAAGACTGTGGCAGGAGGATTGCAAGTTTGAGTGAGACTCTGTCTCAAGAAATAAAAAGGGCTAGGAATGTAGCTCAGTAGTTAACCCCTGGTTTCACTTACCATAGGAATGGGAGAATCATCTGTTGTCCATCAAGCGTATGGGCTTTGAGCTGTTGGTGCCATGTCTCACAGGCCCTGGTTAGTTAGGTAGATGTGGAAGTAACTCAGGAGTCCCAACCTAGAGGAAAGTCTAAGTTATTAGTGTGGTACATACCACACAGTGGCATATGAATGAAACCAAATGCACTTCCCAGATGCTTTGTGATGGGCACTGGGTAGGATGGATACTGAGATAATGCAGAATAACATTTTTGCTTAAACACATATAATGTCTTCTCCATTCTCTCATCTGATATTTCTTTAGTATTTCATCTTCTTCATGTGCAGATTTATACAGAGGATAAGATTAACCAACTTGGGAAAAAATACATTTATCATCTAGAGATCAGACATATTTATGCCTTTTTTTTTTTTTTTTTTTTTTGGTCAGAGAACTTTTTCTTAAGATGAAATAGGAGTCAGAAGCTGGTAATAAGATATGAAAATGCAAAGCTGCTTTGTTTGAAATGGCATAATAGGATCTTTTCAACCTGTGCAACAGCCCAAGTCCCTCCCTGGGGGACACTGTGGCTAGTATGAGCCAGGCCCTGGGCTGGGGCTGGGTACCTAGACAGGAATTAGGTACCATTGACCCCTCTCTGACCTCCTGGGAAGCCGCAGAAGCAAGATAGGTCCTTCCCTCCTATGGCTGCAGGCCCAATGTAGGCCTGCCCCACCCTTTCTCCCCTATCCACAGGGCCACCACTGGCCCCAGGGGCCCAGGGAAAGAAAAGGGCAGCTGCTTACAACAAAAATACCAAGAATGGCTCCGCGAGCTGCCTCTGCCTTTCCACCTCATTGGAGACTCTGTTGGCTGGTGCAGGGGCTGAGAGGCCATGAAGATTACATAGAGGCAGAGATTCCTGACCTGGGCAGGCAGGATGGATTCTGGGTGATATTAGGTAGTAAGAAAACCTGTCTCCCTGTCCCACTCCTGTGAGCTAACCCAGGTCACCTCCATAACCTTCCTTAGAGCCCACCCCAGCAGGAAATCTTAGCCCAGCCATGGGATCTTAGCTTTTGTACTGAAATTAAACAACAGGGAAATGTTCTGGGAACAGAGCCTGCATCCATTGCCAAGGATGTGTTTGAGATGAGCCCTCTCTCTTTAACGGGCCTCACTGCACCAATTTCCGTGGGATTCCCTCACCAGCCATCTTAAAAAGCCCAAGGCATCCTCAGCTCCCTTTTCATCTGATCTTATCACACACAAATCCTTTGCCTTTCAACAGCTTTTTTCTGCTCCCACTGGGACACCAATGGGGGTAACAAGGGGTTCCAAAATCCCATACAGTTTTTCCATGTCTGGACTGTGGTCTGTGGTTACAGAACTCCTTTGAGATGAGAGCTGGAAGCCCCATAGATCTCTTGCCCTGTTTTCTATTCTGGAAGGAGGTGCTCACTTCCCTGTCTGAGCCTGCCCACTATAGAGACTGTTTTTCTAGCACTTGAGGCTAAGTACAACCCAAAACAGAAAGAAGTGACGCCTTGCTCCCGAGTTGGACTTTTACAAGTTGGGATCTTCAGGCTGGGCATACCCATTGCTCCAGTCCTCTGCCCCTCCCAGGCACAGTTCCCCTTTGGCAGGTTCTCTCAGATACTTTGTAATTATTTATTCCATATCACCATTTGCAAAACAGAAGCAAATCTTTTCTGAAAAGAGAGGGAAGTTGGGCTGGGGTTGTGGCTCAGCAGAAGAGTGTGAGGCTCTAGCATGTGTGAGGCTCTGGGTTCAATCCTCAGCACCACATAAAAATAAATAAAATAAAGGTATTATGTCCAACGACAACTAGAAAATAAATATTAAAAAAAAAAAGAGAGGGATGTGACATGAGCATAAGAGGTCAATCTGAGTATGTGGCAACTACACAGTGATCTTTCCAGAAAGATCTCAGACTGGGTCACACTCTTCCTGCAGCTCAGAAGAGGGTAGCTCTGGGCCACATAAAGCCTACGACCATGCAAAGAAGGCACCAAAAGAGAGGGCTGGGGTTGTGGCTCAGTGGTAGAGTGCTCACTTAGCATGCACGAGGCACTGGGTTCAATCCTCAGCACCACATAAATGTAAAATAAAGATATTGTATTCACCTAAAACTTAATAATAATTTTTTTAAAGGCACCAAAAGAAACATGGGTTCCAGGATAAATCTCTTAGCACAGGGATTCTTGACCTAAGTGCACACAGTCTTCTGGAGATCTTGTTCAAATGCAGATTTGGGGCCTAATGGTCAGCTGGGGGTGGATGTGGCATTCTAGTGAGCTCCCAGGTAATGCCGATGCATCTGGTCCCCAAGACTCCAGTATTTTGGAACTCTGAATGGTTTTATACTTGACAGATGCTCCCCTCCTCTTCCCATGCTTCCCTCTTTCTCATTCCCTTTTTGCTTCTTCTACCTGTTCTGACTTTCTCCATCACCATATTTCTATCTGGTTCTCTCCAAACAGGGTGGAGAACATTCAAATGAAAAAAAAATGCATATTCAGTCCCACCATGAGCCCAGCTCTAGCATAGGTGCTGGTGGAGCAGCCGCAGATGCTGAGCTCCACATGCATACTCTGTCCTATTTGGGGACAGACATATAAAAGCCATAGCTGCATTTAGGCTTGAGAAGACCAGGAGCACTGGCTGTGGCCAGATGTGTGGGAGGGCTACTCAGGATGTTCGTCACCCTTTGGAAAGAGCCTGTCATCTCGGCATGCAGGAGAAGCTGCCCTTCTCAGATCCCTGGCTGGGCCCCTGGGCAGTGCTCCCAGTGCCACCATTCGTGAGCCAGCATCCCTCCCGGGTACCTCTGACTCCAATTTTCTCTCTTGTTTAAGTCACCTAATCACCTCTTCTTCTTCAGTTCCATAGTTCTCATGGTGTCAAAGGGAAGATACATCACCAGAGGTCCATGGACCAGAGTGCTGGAAAAGCTTGGGGCAGACAAAGGTCTCAAATTGAAAGGTAAGGGTCCAGACTGGGGTTTAAACAGAACCAAAAAAGATTAGTGCCCAGCATGGAGGCTGATGTTATCCCTTATTTAGTCCAAAACATTCTTTCCCTCTAAACTGAATCCTCATTATTCCCAGGGGTCTACTGGAGTGGACAGGCAAGATGCCACTTATTTACATCCTTATGAGACAGAAAATTTATTGTAACTTGTGACTAGGCACTAAAAGATAATTGCTATAATTCTTCACCCATGTGCTCAGCAAGTGGCCCTTTTTTAAAAATTTATTCATTTATTTTTGTGGTATTGGGGATTGATATCAAGGGTTTGCTACTTCTGAACTATATAACTCTTTTTGATTTCTAGACAAGGTTTTACGAAATTTCTCAGTCAGATCTTGAACTTGCAGTCCTCCTGCCTCAGCCTCCCAGTAGCTGGGATTATAGGTGTGCACTCCTGCACCTAAGCCTGTGAGTGGTCCTTTATTCAATGAAAGTATCACAGGAAAGTGGCTTTGCCTAACTTTCCTACAATTCCCATTATCCAGATTGAAAAAGTCTCCATCTCCCTCAACATTCTAGCTATTGCCAATATTTTCACAGATTTTTTGTAGTTGGCAAAACTCTCCTTTGTCTTCTAAGAGAATGAAGAACTTTAAAGCCCAGAGAATCTATGTGGCTTGTCCAAGGTCTCGTAGCTCTTCTGTGATGAAGCCTAGCATAGGCTTCCTGGCTGTGCTGCATGATGGAGCTGAACAGGACAGAAGTGGCATGCTCCTGCCACAGATTATCCAGAGCAAGTCCTTGGGAAATTGTGAGGAAAGGGACATGATGACAGTGATCACTGCAGTTATTATTTAAGCTCAGTTTTGCACCTTGCTAAATAAAGCTTCATAATTATCTCACTCATTCAGTAGTGAGGTACTATTATTTCCATTTAAGATGAGGAAATCAAGAATTACAGAGTAGAGGAAAGAGACCAGAAGGAGGAAGAAGAGGGAAAGGGGAAGTACTAGGGACTGAAATTGACCAAATTATATTGTAATATTGTGTGCATGTATAAATATGTAACAACAAATTCCACTATTATGTCAAATTATAATGCACCAATAAAAATGGGGGAAAATGGGATTAGGATACAGATTCTAACCTTTCTAAATCAGAGCTAGGTACTGAGCTACTGCACAATCCTGACTACAAAAGACAGCAAAACCAGTAACTCATCACGTGGATATTCATCCCAGGAAACAACCAAAGAAAAATCAGAAAAATGAAAGCCCTTCACGGCAGTCAGAAGACAACACAGAGGAAGAAAAGCATCCTTTTTATAGCCCAGTCTAGAATTATTTTTCAGCTTCTCTCTTTTAAATTAAGACCCCTGTTGCAAAAACCTCATGTATGTAAGATGATTCAAGTCAAGTGGTTCTTGCTCATTGGTGATAAATGTGTGCTACCTGCCAGACCAGACCAGGCCATTCTTGAGCGTAGACATGGATTCCTGCTTGGAAATGCAAGACAGAGAATGTTACATGGGGTACAGGAGTCTGGAGTTCTACTCTGGGCTGCACGATTTATTTTGTGACCTTGGATACATAGTCCACTTCTAAAGCTACACAAGTGATAAGAGCTGAGGAAGAGCTCTTATAGAAAAATGCCATCACTTGGCAGATTGGAACACTGGGATTCAGGACTTGCTGGTGCTCACAGATCAGCTTGAAGGAAGGCAGGGTTCCTGGAGATTCCTCACTCCCAGTGTATCCTATTTCCTGCTGTGCATGGCTGTCCTATATCTAACAGAGCCTCCACCCTGCTAAGGTGGCAGTGAGGTACAAGTGAGACCTGTGTGCCCCAGATGATCAAAAAACAGGTGCTACCAGTAGCTGGGTCCAGAGCTCTTCTCAGCAGGTTATAGTCAAGTGTGGCAAGGAAGGGAGTGCCCAGTGGTAACAGGACAGGGGAGTAGTGAAAGGGAGCCCTAGGAAGGGGTGGGGTGTGACCCTTCTCTCCTAGTATTTTTGTTCATGTGACTCATCTTTGCTTTCCAGAAAAGATGGCATTTGTTGGCTTCAAAGGCACCTTCCGGCCCATCTGGGTGACTCTGGAGACAGAGGACCACACAGCCAAGATCTTCCAAGTTGTGCCCATCCCTGTGTTGAGGAAGAAGAAACTGTGAGAACAGCTATCACGCTGGTGCCTCCCATGGTAGACTATAATGGCGGGGCAGCAGAGGCAGGATGGGTGGCTTTCCAGCCCCTGTCCAGCAGCTGCCTGGGAGGCTGTGAATCAGCCCTGATGGGCAAGGGAAGGATACTGGATAATCCTGGTGCTGCTACCTGCCCCCACTCAAGCATCTACCTGCAGCCCTCGGGCAGTGTTGGCCAAGGATGGAAGTCTTCTCTTTCCTGCAGCCTCTTGGGTGCTTCTCTCTTATCTGTGCCTCTTTAGTGGGGATGTGGGGACCATATGAGAAGCCCTGGGCTGTGCTGGCAGCTACACTGCACTTTGGCAGAGCCCTGCCCACACAGTAGATATCTGGAAGGTTGCATCACTCATGGATCCCATGGTCACCAGCAGATGCGTTAGGGGACAGAAGTAGGGGAAAGAGCCCCGATCTTAAGCAAATCTTTATTCCTGTAAACGAGGACCAGTCTTCATGGGAATAAGAGCTAGTGTGTCAACAGAGCTCCCCAAGATGGGGCTGGCTACCCCTGGGAAGAAGCGATTCCTGCTTCTGGAGGTGTCCCACTTTCAGGAGATTTGGCACATTGGTACTTGGACGAGGTGACTCTTAAAGGCCAATTCAGTTCTAAGATTCAGGAAGACTGTGGCTTTTCACTTTGTACCCAGAACCCAGCGGTAGATGATTCTTTTCAGCCAGTTCCATGATATGGGGTGGCCTGGGGCACCCAGGATGGAGTGGTGAGAACATACCTTGTGGAGAGGGGCTCAGGGAAGTGAGTCAAGCAGCCACAGGTCTAAGAGCACTCTGATTCCAAACAAAGAAGCCCAAGAGAGGTGAAATGAGGTGATGAAAGTTGAAAGAAGGGAATATTTGCATCTGCTTGGGTGGGTCCAGAAGGCCTCTCACTCCAGGAGGCAGCAGCACTTGCAGAAATGAAGGGCAAAGGCTTTTGCTGGAGAGAGGCAGGCTGGCCTCTGTAGTGTTTCAGAGGTGGAGTCTTCCTGCCGTCACCTGCTGAAGCTGGTTGATGAAGGGTTACTCTTTTCTTTCTGCTAGCTGACCTACTTGTGACAGAGAACCATGGTCAGAGGGAGGAATGGTCTGTGCTTGTGATGCCAAGAGCCATGTGGAATTTGGTCCCTAGCCAGCCCCCTGATGACTCCAAGGAAGTCATTGGCACTTCCTCCAGGGAACTGAGATGACTCAGGAGACTCTAGAGAGGTCATGTGTCAATAAGCCTGCAACTTCAGAGCTGGAGGACATTGGGAGCCATCTAGTCCAACCCTTTATCTCCCAGCTGGGGAAAATGAAGCTCTAAGATGAGAAAGAACTGCAGACAGGGCAGGACCCCAGGAGCCCACTCCTAGCACTTGTGCCATACCACATTGCCTCCACAACCAGCCAGGACGCCAGTACTCCTGAAGTAGCTTCTGGAAAGGGGACAAATCCCTTGAAAGAAAGATAAGAATCAGAATAGAATGATCTTTAGCTCATAGCTATTTCTTTCCTGCTCCTCTGCACACACAATCCTACCCTACTTCTGGTATTGTGGTCCCTGCAGCCTGCACCTTGCCCCCCCCCCCCTTGCCCGCCAGACCACACTTGGGCACATGGTGGCTGCAGGAACCCCCTTGGTGCTACCTGTTTCTGCAGTTCTGCAGGTGGAGCCCAGTGGATGGCTTCAGGATGTGACAGCGTGTTTCTGGTGAGGCAGGTGGGGGGGTCCGAAGAACTGTTGGCTCCAGCCCAGGGTCTCTCAGCCACTGCTCAAGACCCTGCTCTCCCCCTTTCCCACCTGGGAGAGAACTCAGAGAGCCCCTAGATGAGGGAAACCTTTATCTGTGGTCTATACTTGCTCATGAGACACCAAGGTCTCCCTGGGTCTCACAAACTACCTTTGTCCCATTTCCTGCCCCAATCATTAACTCTTTCCCTCAAAGAGGGCAGGCTTGCTTGACTCTTTCTGCCCAGTTGCATCCATGAGACTTGGTCCCAGAGCCCACTCCCAAGGTTGAGCCAACTGCCAGAGGAATCATTCCTATTAAACTGATCTTCCAGCTGCTGGGAGGTGACAATGGGACCCTGCCTCTTAAGACATGGCTACTCCAAAGGCCAAAATCAAAGGAAGGGCCTCTTCTGGGTGGATGAGTGACAGTAGAGTTAAAATGACCTCATGCCCTTCCTGTCTACAGTTTGGTTGAAATTTCAAACTCTTTCAAGCAAGGGTCTCACACTGTGAACCACTTAGGATAAGATCACTTTCAGGTGGCCAGGAATGTTGAATGTCTTTGGCTCAGTTCATTTAAAAAAATAATCTTTTGGAAAGTTCTCAGAGTTGTATATATGTTCAATAGCACAGGACCTGTACATAAAACTTTCTCTCCTAAACCATTCAGCAAGAGTCAATGTCCAGGAGTTTCCCTGATAGCGCAAATTTCCTTATTGTATAGAAAATTGTTTTTGTTGTTCTGTTTCTAAGTGTTACAATTGATTAAGGCCTTTAAACAAAACAGCAGTCCTCTGAAATACTTGTCTTTTTCCTGTTGCCGAAATAGCTGGTCCTTTTTCGGGAGATGGATGTATAGTGTGTTCTGTATGTAAACATTTCTTGTAGGTGTCACCATGAACAAAGATATATTTTCTATTTATTTATTACACAAGCATTTCAAGAAGTCACTGTCAGAGTAATGAAGAATTGTCTTAAGTGTCATGTTTGGGGATGTCCTTTGGACTGCTTGGAAGAAGTTCCCAGAGCCAAGAGATTAGTTCTGGTTCACAAAACCTTGTTGTACCATGGTAAACACACAAAGGATGTCACCATGTTGTCTGATTATTTTGTTTTCCATTAAAATGGGCCTCATTTAATTCAGTTCTCTAAGAAAAATAAGATTGATGAAATCATCCTGAGTCTGTGTCTCAATTCTATGGCCTTCTTCTCAAGAACTACCTATATATCAAACCCTTACCTTGCTCTCATCCCAAGAGGGCACCTCTAAGAGCAGGTGAAGATGATCCACTGAGATACGTCATTTGTGTGATCAGTCAAGTCCAGAATGTTCTATATCCTCCGTGCTCCTAAGCCATTAGTAGGCTGTTGGTTCTACCCCTCTCCCACTGGGGAAGCCAGGCTGGAGGGGACATTAGAGTGTGGACCAGAGCAGGACATCTCTTCCTCCCAGGCACTATTTGGCCAGAGGTCAAACACAATGTCTGAGAACATGGAAGTTGAGGTGGAAAAATAGGTCCAAATCAAGCAGGGCAGGAGCAGATGGAGGGCACCCCTGGGAAGAGGTGGGAGGGGATCAGGAGTCTGGAGAGGGTCAAGTGTTGGGCAGAGGCTGAAACAGGGTGAGTTAGTCTAGAGCTGTACCATCCACAGCAGCTGCCTACATTTAATTAATTTAAATTAAATACAATTAAGCATCCAGTTCTTCACTAATATCAGCCCCACTGTGGGTGTTCCATAGCCACACATGGCTGGTGCTGCCATATTGTGTGCCAATAGAAAACTTTCCCATCATCATTGAATGTTCTCCTGATCATTTCCAGAGAGCTACTGGGACATACATATATACTGGGATCTTTAAAAGATCTATGCTCCCAATGTGTGCAAATGTGTGTGTGCTTGTGTGCATTCAATCCACTTAGAGGGGCTGGTACCAGGTTGGTTGTATCAAGCTGTCAGTAAACAAATACATCTGGAACACTAGTTTTGGGGATATGATATCAACCATAAAGTGGAGAATACATGACTGCTGCCTTCAAGAAGCTTTACCAGCCCAGGTGCAGTGGAGCATACCTGCAATCCCAGCTACTCAGGAGGCTAAGAGGAGGATCCAAATTTCAGGCCTCTCCCTCTACCACTTAGCAAGGCTCTGTCTCAAAATAAAAAAAGAAAAGGACTGGGGATGCCGCTCAGTGGTAAAGAACCCTGGGTTCAATCCCCAGTATCAAAAACAAACAAACAAACAAAAAAACCCAAAACTTTACCGGGAGATAGAGATCACATCAGTACACATTCAACAATTTTTTTTTAACTTTTATCATTATTTCAGGTTTAATAGAGTTTATGCAAACTTGTATTTTAGAACATTTTGCAAAATTCCTAGAGTAGCAAATTTTAGAAAGAGTGGAGAGTGACAGTCTCATCTTCAAGGATTTAATTTCTATGTAGATTCCTTAGTTAAGATAGAAGTATCAGTTTGACCAATCCCCTTCATCTCTCATGGGCTCAGTTTCCTCCTAAACCTATATAAAAAGGTCCATTTGATTAAATATTTTCTTTTTTACATCCATCTTACTATAATTCAGACAAGAGTTCTATTATCTAAAATAATTCTCCCCATTAATGTGAATTTTTTTACCTCATTTTGCTCCCATCTCAACAAATGTTTTTGATTTGAGCATCAAATTCAGGCATTCTGCACAAAGGGGAATGTGAAATGACCCTCCATGGAGAATATCCAGTGACATGGCCAGTGGGAGACATGCCAAGTTCTTGTTTTGTTTTTGACTTTGGTACTGGGAATTGAACCTGGGCCTCTCTACCCCTTAATTACATTCCTAGACTTAATTGAGAAAGGGTCTTGATAAATTGCTGAGGCTGACCTCTAACTTGTGATCCTCTTGCTTGAGCCTCCTGAGTCACTGGGATTACAGGCATGTGCAGATGTACCTGGCAAATCCTCTATACAGAGAGGAATCACCATCACCTGGAGTGGTCAGGGAAGGTTCATGCTCTGAGGTGGGACAGGAGTCGACCTAAGACTCAGGAATGACCAGGGAAGAAGAATAGACCATTGACCAGGGGTGTGGGCTTGGGGACACATGGGTATAAATTAGGGAGCAATACTAGGGAAGGTATGTCAGTGGGTTGGGCTAGAAAAAGGGCTTGTTTTAGGGACTACTAGATTTGATGATGGGGAATGGTCAGCTGTAAACATGACTGTGTATGAAGACATAGCCCACAAATACCTGCTGATGCAATGGCA